AAAAAAAAAGGTACCTTATTCGCATCCATCGTCGTCGCCGGAGTTGGTCGGAATTTTTTTCGAAATTTTTCGAAGTCCAGAACCGGGAGAGATAATGTATAAAATGAAAAATGAATTTGTTTTTTTAATATAAAGGGCAAAATCGACTTTTGGGGGCGGTAAATATTAATATGGGGGCGGTGTTTAATAACACCCTAAACTAATGAAGATTGTAAAATAAATAATACAAATTAAAAAGTTTAAAGTAAATGATTTTTGTGAATCCTTTATCTCAAAAGACTGCTCTAATGAACTTTTTCTAAATTAGAGTTTTTGGCCTAAAAAGTTAATCAATAAGTTATTTACTAGACAAGCTCAATAACAGATTTGACGGGTCAAATCTTTCAACTAAATTCAATCTGCTAATTTATCTTCAATCCGCTATTTTCAAACGGCCCATTATATACACATGCACAAATCTGAATAAATATAATCTCAAACATCGATTTTTTTTTTTTTTTTTAACAGACTCAAACACCGAGTTTGAAATGATTAAATTTGGGTCGTCCAGTTGGATTGCGCACTTCGAAAAGCATCGCATGTTAATGATTGTGGTGACAAAGTGAAATCAATGAAAAATGCCTGTTTTACCATAGACGCTTTTCATGTTTGGGTAATTTATTTCTCCACATCTCTCTCTCTCTCTCTCTCTCTGGCCTCGAAAATTTCCGAAATTTCAAAAAACGCAGATCTCTCTTCCTTCGTCCCTCGTCTTAATTTTTGCCTTTCGCCGTGAAACGGTGCATCGAACTAATATCCGCCGTCGGGAAACTACTCCGCCGCCGCCGAACACCTCCGTTAAACCAGTTATTAGGCGGACAGACCAGCGATCCTCTGAAAAATGAGTAACGGCGAACTCCTCCGAATTGACCCGCTCGAGCTCCAATTCCCCTGTATGTCACCATTCTATTGTTGTTTCTGCTTAGATTTCTTGCTCTGTGTGAGTGATCCATGGGTTGTCCCTAGAAGTTTCTACTCTTAAATTTAATTTGTTCTTTTAGATCCGTACTTAGTTTTTTTTTCTTTTTTTTTTTCCTCCTGATTCTGATGCTATATGTAATTTGTTCTTATGCTTATGTTCATTGATAGTCGAATTGAAGAAGCAGATCTCATGTTCCATGCAATTATCCAACAAGTCCAATAATTATGTTGTATTCAAGGTAACTTATCATGCATTCATTCATGAGAATGTATTTACTTTTCATCAGTTGTCAGTTTTCATTCGTTTTGGGGGAGTTTACAGGACACGAACAAATAACAATCGTCCTTGAGGTATAAATGACTGATCTTTTGTTTGTTTGTTTGTTTATTTGTTTTCCTAATTTGAATTTTTAGGTTAAGACTACAAATCCAAAGAAGTACTGTGTGAGGCCGAACACGGGAGTGGTGATGCCTCACTCTACTTGTGATGTTATAGGTTTATCTCTCGATCCTTTGTGTTCTGTGACATTGTGATTATGTTTGCTTTTAAGCATTGAACCCTGGATATAAAATCCATTTGAAGCTTGTAAATTTTAATTAAGCCGGAAACGGATTAGTTATATGTGCGAATTACGAGTGCATATACCTATTATTGAATTTGTTAAGTTGTATGTTCATTCAGTTACTATGCAAGCCCAAAAGGAGGCTCCACCAGACATGCAATGCAGGGATAAATTTCTCCTTCAGAGCGTGGTGGTGAGCCCTGAAGTTACCGTGAAAGATATTACACCTGAAATGGTAGGTCTATGATGACTTTTGGCTTTTGCAGTATTCATTATTAAATTAGATATTTGGCAGCAGTTATTCACTCAAAGCTGGTAAATGGTGTCATCTTTGTATTAGTTCAACAAAGAGTCTGGGAAGCAATTAGATGAATGCAAGCTGAAAGTTTCATATGTTCCTCCCAACCAACCACCTTCCCCTGTGCGAGAAGGCTCGGAGGAAGGTTCTTCACCTAGGGCTTCAGTATCAGACAATGGAAACGTAAATCAAACTTCTGAATATAACACGGTAAGAATTTTCTTGATTTTACAAGCTTGTGTTTGTTTATGGGCTTTGGAACACATCATTTAATTGGGCAGTCTCTTAATGTTTGTTCTCTTTTTTGTTTTTGTAGACGTCAAAAGCATTTGTTGAACCAAAGGAGAGCTCATCGGAGGTTGTATCTAAGTTTTTTTGTTCTTTTTTTCTTTTGTCCTCTTTTATGAATATAGTTTTCTCATCTCTTTTGTACATGCATGAGCTGGCTCTAGTTGGCATGACCAATTTCTGACAGTGTTTTTGTTTTCATGGGCATTTTATGTCAAGTATTTGTAGTTTAGCAGCTATGTTGAATTTCACTAGTATAGTTTGTCCTGACATTGAAAATGTTGCGCCTTTCTGGACTGTTTCTAATCTTTGGTACTTGGTATCTATTGCAGGCCAAGACTGTGATTGCAAAGCTGACTGAGGAGAAATATTCTGTTTTTAGGCAAAATCAGAAGCTTCAGAGTGAACTGGTAATCATTTGTTGCTTGCTTATGATCCTTGATTTTTTTGTTACCACTTCTTTCATACTATGTTTTGACTGCAATCCATGGGAGTATAAGAAAAAATTTGAAGAGATGGAAAAAAAAAATCATTTACTCTGTGCCAATAAGCATATTCCTTGATGTCGATGATGGATATTTAAGTTTGTCTCAATTTAGACAATCTTTACTAATTTTATTTATATTTTAGGAGCTCTTGAGACGTCAAAGCAACAGTGGCGGGATTCCGTTTATGTACGTAATCATTGTTGGCTTGGTTGGGATCCTATTGGGCTACCTTCTGAAGAGAACATGATTGATTTGAAACATGGCCTCGCGCTCGTATTTAGATACCTCAGTTTGTCTGATTTGCTCATATTTTTTAGGACATTTGACAGGAATGCCTTTGATGAGAAAGAGTTTCTTTATACTTGTTTAGCTGTATTTATTCTACCATGGAACCATATGACTGAATGGTTTGATGGGTTAATTGTAATTTTGCTATGTGCAATCACATTTGCAACTATCTTTTCGCAATTTTTATTTGTTCCCATGCTGCTAGATGTCATTCTTGTATTTTCATTATTTGCTTTGTTGACAAGCCTTTAATGTAAACTTATGTTTAGACCGTGCAGAAATCACTTTGTGCAAATTGGACTTGGTTTGTCGATGTTTGTTGTATAATGAGCGTGCTGAGTGGCTGGTGCTAATCGTGGTTTACAAACATTTGCGTTGTCCTTTTTATTGATCAGTAGGCTCTCAAGGGTAACCATGTTTCAGAAGTTTAGGGAATCAAGTGATGCCAGAATTTTAGGTCAACGGCATTAACTTTGTTTTGCAAATTGTTGAGGAGACCTTGAGCAATCTATAGGTTATATTCATGATCTTCAAAGTTCTCATTATTCATTTGGCAATGTGAAACTGAATGTGTAATTTACAAGTACAAAGCCACAAAAATATTGGCATTTGTGGTACAACATTAGAGGATCTTAATGACAATGGGGTTTAAACTTTAATACACCAGTGGTGATGCATTAAACAGAGCAGGAACTCTTGATTTGTTTATGATGAGTAACAAGTGCTGGCCGACTGTATATTTTGAAACCTGTCAACCTGGAGCAAATAAGGGCCCGATTAATATCGAGACGTATAACCAAATAAATATATAGGAACAGTAACAGGCATTACAGTAAAACAACTCTTACATAGTGGTAGCTAAAATTTCGTAGCAGTGTCATTGCAAATACCCCCCATTGACATTTGTTTTTTTTTTTTTTTTTT